AGAGAGAGAGAGAGAGAGAGAGAGTTGTTCTTCTTCCTCTTCTAAGTCCACCATCTGTTCTCACCCTCTCGCCACCTGACTTCTCAGACTACGACAGAGAGAGAAAGAGTTGTGACTTGAGACTTGACGACATTGGATCCAGACTGGACATTTGGGATTCAGACATTTCGACGAGGGATTATTTGGGCCTGTGCCAAGACTTGGTGTTGACGACATTCCCAGCTTCCCCTCCTCTTCGTCTAACCCCTCCTTCTTCATCTGTGTATGGTTGGGGCTGGCGCAGTCTTCTTGTGTGAAGCGCCAGACCCCCTTCACACCAGATAACGATGATGATGATGTGTGTTCAGGGCTGCATTGCAATATTGATTGTCCGGATCATTAGTATCTAAGTCTTCCGCTGTGTTATCTTGTACTTTGTATTGAGAGGTTGGTTCTTGTTCTGGTCTGCACGTTACAGTATGCAACAGGTAACCTCGGCGCAGTCACGAAAACAGTTTGAAAATGCACTTCAGGCAATCCCACGAACACAGCACACCCCCAGTTGACCCCACCGCACCCAAAACGTAGGTTATATACATTCATCATTACCGGCCCTTTAACCTCAAATGCATTTTTTCAAACTCTGACCGTGCCTGCACTGTAGTGCAAGGAAAATGAGCGATAGCGAATTCCAAAAACCAAGCAGCATCATACACATGAAACCAGATAGTCGTGACCTCGAACTGAAAGCAGAATTGCAACTCAAGTTCACCAAATAAGAGCACAGCAAAAGCTCACAAGTGACAATGTTGGAATAGTCTCATCATCATCAACAAAGAACCAATGTCGACATCCTATCTGGCACTCTGCGCCCAGACTACAAATGGCAGATCCTATCTAGTCTATCTACAATGCCGCTGGTGACGTCAACAGCTCCCCGAAGTACGAGCAGATCTCGGCCAATGCCGTTCGCCTCAAGCACCAGGTATGTCTCTCACATCACTCACAACCTCGATCCCCACACAGATGCCACGTGCACCCAAGGACCACCATGCGCCCCATCCAGCTCCTCGCAGGCCAGCTCAGCTATGGCTGCCTGTGTATCCCTTGCTCGCCCGTGAGCACGTAGGCCCTTGCCTGCCAGTAGCGCAGCAGCGCTTGCGCAGCATGTAGCAAGTGCCTGAATGCCAAATGCGGGGGCAGGCACTTTCCTATATGGAAGTGGCCTGCCTGCTGCGTGCGGCCTGGCTGCGCTGGGCCCCTGCCCAGAAGCTTCCGGTAGGCCCCAAGTGGCTGAGCCCCGGTCCAGGGAATCAGGCCCAGGGCCTAAAGCGGTTAGCCGTGTTCAACTGCCCGCAGCCTGTGTTCGGCCCATGTTGTGTCTCCAGCCCAGGGGCTGCCTCAGATACATCTGAGGGGGCGCAACCAACTGGCGCTGCGCAACTGCCTGAATCTTCCCAGTTGTGTGGTAGTCCAAAATAGGCCTCTCGTCCTTGGTCGGGCCTGCCTTCACTTAGGGAGGTCGACATTGCTGGAAACAGGTCCCAGTAGGGCTCTTCGAGGCCTTGTGCCTCGCAGTAGTTTTCTCTATTACTTAATAACGGAGGTCGAATCATTTGTGGCCCAGTATTTGCTTTCTTTAGTTTTCTTAAGTGGGAGATTTTATAGTTCATCCATTTCGGTTCCGTTTTCTTAGTAGGATCATACGGCACAAAGGTGACTGACACATCTTTCTTTAAACCTCCAGTACACGGCCCCAGCCTTACAGAAGTTTTTTGTCGCTACAAGCAAAACTCGGAGGGGCTGCGCAACATGGGGCGCGGTTGAAAAAAAAATATGCGGCCTCCAAAGTGGTGTGGGTTCCACGCTGACACCCACGGGCCCATGTGTTATGATTCTGGTTGTTTGTTGCCTGAAGGCCAACACTCACTCACATAGACTTCCGGATATGCCCATACATACACAGAAGGAAGGGGAGAGGATAGGAGTATCACACCGCACAGGGAGAGATAAACACAGCGGAAGACTTGACCATGCGATATGACAGGGTACACTGAAAGTGCAATTCACTCCACTCAATCCTCACAACCAGTCATAGAGAAAAGCCGAGCAGATCACATCCAGGAAACAATGAAACGATGATAGTCCAAACACAGTATCACACTGTTTATTAAACTCAGAGTCTCGAATTGTCAGGATAACTTCAGTACCACAGTGCGCTGCTCAGAGTTGAGCAGCGCTTCACTCCCCAACCCTGAATAACACTCGTAACACCCCCAGAGTCCCTGAAACATCAAGCGCCACCCAGATACAGCCTCCTGAGGGAAGCGCCACCCTGAAACAGGCCTCTGAGGCCAAGTGCCACTCAGAGGATGAAGAAGAAGACCAGCGCCACAGTATCTGATGATGACGAAGTGTCGGAAGACTTCCCGGGTGGAAGTCTGCAGCAGCGCCACCAAACCCTGACAAGATGACCTCCGAGAAGAAGAAGCTGCAGCTATGGCTGCAGCGCAAAGCCCCTGGGACCCCACTCCGGAGGAGGGTCCAGCAGGGCATCCGTCTCTCTCGCCTCCAGCAGACTCGATAACCCAGACCTCTGTCAGCCCTTGCGTGCTGGCAGAGTACAGCGCAGGTCCCAGCTATGGCCTGCACTCCGAAGGTCTGGCTATGCCTGTCTCTCTCCACGCTGAGTCGTCACCACTTCCGGTTCACGCGTAGCACAGCAGCGATGTACACGGTACCAACTGCCAAAAGCCCTGAACCGATGTGCCCAATCTATCTATAGACTACAACTAGCCTAGACTCGACCTAGACCGGACTGACTGACCGACCGGTACCGTTTCTGTTTCGGCCTCTCGGCCTCTAACGGACCCGGCTATAGGCTATAGGACCGTCTATCAGAATAGGCCCTTAGGGCCTGTCTGTCCTACGGGTAGCCCGGGCCTGCTATGCGCAGTTAGGGTAGCTGTAGGGAATCCTGTTAGTACCGGGCCTATATTTCCCGGATTTGTAGATATGTCCCTCACGAATTTCCCTCACAGGTAGGTCTCTCGGTTAGCCCTCAGCCAAACAAAATTATAAATCTGTCCTACCTAAAGTACAGCCTCGACAGAGAGAGGCTACAGGCGACCAGAAAACAGCAAGTCATTGCATATGTATGGTGTACTGGTGCTTTAAGGTTGTAGCTGTAACGGAGATCAGATTGTCTGTGCCCCTATAATTTTTTTTCTTTAGTATTCCAAACAAACTGGGAGTTCTAGGAACGAATTATGGTTCATTCATTTGGGTTCCTTTTTCTTAGTACCTTCTTCCCCCGAATACAACGCACGGTCATTATACCTGTATTTGGGGCATCTTTCGGTCTAATACAACTATAATGACTGTGCGTTATATTCGGGGGAAGAAGGTAGGCTTGTAGTGGAAAGGTGACTAACACTGTCATCCAAAATACTGCTGAAGAGAGTTGTGTAGCCGCTTGGTGCCCTGGTTCATATTCTTTCTTCATGAATTCCCTCAAGTGCTTCACAAATTCCCCATTTGCCCCATGTTCCCTTACCTCGTGGGGGGTGCATTCTCATCCCTTCAGGTTGATTTCCCCCTGTATGAGTCCATTCCCCATTTATTTTGCTTTTTCCTCAAAGGAACCCTGATGGCTTCGCTTTTTTTTCTGGGAGAGGAACAAGGACCCTCTTGGTGTGTTCTAAACTAGGTTCTTTTGTCCACCAACTCCTCCTAGGGAAGTTTGGAGTTGTCACATTTCTTGTGGGGGTGGAGGCGGGAGGGGGGGGGAAATGGGGAGGTTGGGAGGTGGGGGAGCAATCTGCTTAGGGAGAAGAGTTCTCCCCAGGGTCCTGCTGCTCCTTTTGTTTGAGGGATCACTGATTTTGCTCTCAAAGTTTCTTTCAGTCCTTCTCGCTGTCCTCTCCCTGCAAGCCCCCTTCTTCCAATGTTTCCCTTAAGGATTTGTTCTTTGCCATTTTCTTCTTTACCTTTTTCTTTGCCCTCTTTGTCCTTTGACTCCTGTCCTCAATGACTTGGGTTGAACCTATCGGTCATGGTTAACAAGAGCTTAGACGGTACATCATTCTATTACAGATGTTGAGGGAGTCCATTTTCAAAAACTGAGATCTTTCTGTCTTTCCTTCTCGCTGTCCTCTCCCTAGAGAGCTCTGTCTTTTCTTCTTTTCCGTTTTCTTCTTTTCCTTTGTCTTCTTTGTCCTCTTTGTCCTCTGACTCCTGCCCTTGATGAGATGGGTTGAACCTATCGGACATGATTTACAGCAGCTTAGACAGTACATCATTCCATTGCCGATATTGTGGGAGTCAATTTCCCAAGGCTGAGATTCTTTGCTTGCTGCAGTTGAGTATCCCAAACAGCTCCACATAGGATTTTCCAACATGTGAGAAGGGAGGCCCGGTTTTCTAGCCTTGAGACCCTCAAGTATTCAATCTTCAGTTGACGTAATCGTTGCCCCCAATGAAAGGGGGACCTCTTGTTTGTTTCCTTGCACCTCCTCCATTTCCACATCCCAATCGGCCATGGAGGAGGGTATTTGTGGAGGACCTACTTCCATGCGCTCTGTGCCAAATGCCTCGCCCAGCAGATCCGGTCTCATTATTTCCTTCCTCCTTTGTGTCCATATTCCTTGTGTTCTACTTTCCTTATTTTCTCCTCTTCATTCCGTTCTTCATTGATATTGTCTCTCCCCTTCAACAAAGGGGTGTAGTTGAGGTTGTCAACTTTGTTGGTATCTAAGTTGCACCCAGGGCCTCACCACCATGTACACCCGTTCCTTTGGAAAGAAGAGTAAACTGGTTTGTTGCTGGGAGATTATACCCTTTTTTTTTATACCACGCTTTTTTTTAAATTGTTATCCCCTTAGTTTTTGTGATCTATCATCTCATTCGTCCATTACTTCCCTCACTATATTTGGTCACATCTGGCTCCCCAGGGATTTTTAGAGGGGGAGGCTTGTATGGCTCCCTGATCTTAGTTGTGTACTCAAACCCCGATGCATAGATCAGGTCGTTGAAGTCTTTGGGAGGGGTTTATGTCGTTGTAGGGCAAAAGGTCCGATATGAGGTTCCCGCTATCCCCCACGTTCGTCACAACATCCCTCACCCTTGATTAGTAGAGAAATCATACATCCACCCCTCTGGCCCAAGCCAATCGTGTGCCATCATAGTCTGTGTTTGTAGGCTGCATAGATCGAGTAGTCCTTCCCCCCTATTTGGTAGTCTATGATGTCCTCTAGTGGGAAGAGCTTGACCATTGTGAGATTTGGTGACAACATGAAGAATTCTTTTATTTTTGCCTTAACTAAGGGGAGACGGTCAATGAAATAAACCATTTTGTGTTTTAGGTCGAAGTCCATCATGAAGAGTCAACCAGAAAAAGTAACAGAGAGATCCAAACGCGGTTGATGCATGATAGAATTATGAGATGCAAATCAACCATTCAGGCTTCAACTTCATAAGTTTGCCACTAGTCTACTATAAATTAACAAGGGGAATTTAGTCTCAAACATAGTTTGGTTGGTAATATAGAGTGAATATGATCAGGATCGTGGTTTAATACATGCCGATTCATATGAGAATGAATTTAAATTTTTTGACTTTGTTTTTTAATGTCATTATGAAGTGTATTTGTCACAAAATATATATATACTTACACACATACTGAGAGGAAAAAAAGGAAAAAAAATAAAAAAGAAATTAAGAGGTATCATATATGGCAAATTCTTTTGTAATCATATAGCATGTGTTTGTGACTTTGTACGTACTCAAGGATTTACTTACATAAAATGTAAACAATTAAATGAATATAACAATTTGTATTATGTTTAAAGTTTAACAACTAGTTAATGTGAATTATTTTCAATAAACAAAAGTTAGTGAACAATTTGGTGAAACCTTTATCGCTCACCAATTTTATATCATGTTATGCAAGAAAATTGAAGAATGAAAAAATGGTATCATATTGCTCAACACGGAAGATGATAAAGATTTCGACCTTAAAACCTAATATTGTATAAGGTGGATAATACATGAACTTTATGTGCTTACTCGTATCCATACTTCGTATCTTTGTCATCCACAAAATATATGATTAATGGATGAACATGTTGACATGTGATTCGAGTGATTATATATCGTAGGGTTTTTTTTTTTCCCGTGTCCGGTATGGTGCTCTTGTATGTACTCGCATGCCTTAGATGAATGGTTCATGCATATAAATCTACGATATATGGTTGGTTGCATGGTTAGTTATGTTTCTTGCCAAATTTTACACGATGGATAAATGACATTCATGTTACCAACTTTAGTGATGTTGATGGGTAAATTATATCAATTACATTTTGTCAAACGTGTCATGACTATTGTTGTATCATTGTAGATTTAGCCTCATTTAGGTAGACACATAGTATAAATAATATATATAGGCAACGAACACCTAAGGCAAAGAGGCGGGTGGTGTTTGATAAATTATGACAAACACAGGAGGAGGGGGAAATATGATACAAGATGATTCATTTTAACTATAATGATACGTGCATATCGGGTTAAAAAAAAATAAAAATGGTAAATACAACGAGACTGTATGAATGAAATTTGTAGTGCATGTGTATGTGACTCATGTGTCCATAACTTGAAGCAAGATAAACAATGGAAAATAAGAAACCCAAAAACTTGAAAACTAAAAATATACCATGATAATTCATGAAAAAAAATATCATTACATCTGGTTGTATATAGGCAGTATATGCATTTTTGCTTTGAAAACTCTTTTACACGATAGATAAATGACATTCATGTTACCAATTTTAGTGATGTTGATGGGTAAATTATGTCAATTGCATTTTGCCAAACGTACCATGACTATTGTTGTATCATTGTAGATTTAGCCTCATTTAGGTAGACACATAGTATAAATAATATATATAGGCAACGAACACCTTAAGGCAAAGAGTCGGGTGGTGTTTGATAAATTATGACAAACACAGGAGGAGGGGGAAATATGATACAAGATGATGCATTTTAACTATAATGATACGTGCATATCGGATGAAAAAAGAGAAAATATGGCAAATACAACGAGACTTTATGAATGAAATTTGTAGTGCATGTGTATGTGACTCATGTGTCCATAACTTGAAGCAAGATAAACAATGGAAAATAAGAAACCCAAAAACTTAAAAATTAAACATATACCATGATAATTCATGAAAAAAAATATCATTACATCTGGTTGTATATAAGCAGCATATGCATTTTTGCTTCGAAAACTCTTTTATAAAAAATCCTGACAATTTTTTCCATTCTTCAACATTCTGTTTTAGTTTGTTATACAAGGAACATTAGATAAAAATATACCATTTGAACAACGCATTTATTGATGACAAACATCATGTCTCAGTTGTTTTCATGAGAAAAAATTGAAAGAAACACTTTAAGAAACTATGGTGATGATAATTTTTTTTGTCACTTATTGGTTTGTTTCAATAGAACAAGCTTAGTAAGTCGATTAACATAGAGTTGCATTACGAGGTAGTTGGACTTTCGAACAACTTGGACTCATGCTCATGACTTTTTCTTTAACTTAAATTGCCTCTTAAGTGGGTTTGAAACTTTGCATAATTCAAATTTGTGTCAAATACCTTTTATAGTATTTCCTTTTGAGTGGGTTCGTTGCTTTTTATACACCACATTCATCAAACCAATCCACCTCAAATTAATCTTTCTTGAAATGTTCATATGTAGTTGGGTTTGTCCCATCAACTAGCTCAATAGGTTTCATGCTTGAGCGACACTACGTAGGAGTTGGGCTTTATTCATGTGGCCGTCACTTTTAGTGGCCTGAGGAAGATAGGTGGTCACGACCAGTCAACACGAGTAACTCTCGGGGAGAGTTGTGTTGCCCTATAACACATAGCATCGGGCCAAGTTGAAGTGGTTGTTCATGTTCGGTTGCGGTCAGTCGGGACACACCCAATTCACATCCTAACAGAGCCTTCAGGTTGAGTTATCGGTCAGTACCACCATAGCTCACATTCATGGCTCAATTACGATGTCTATTAGGGTTGAAACCCTCAATTTCGAGATGCTTCCAGAGACTTAAAAAACTATAAACATATCTGTCACCAAGGTAAGCGTTCGGGACGGACCGAACGCCCGAACCCGAGCGCCCGAACGTATGGGACCCCTTGGGGATGCGTTCGGCCGTTCGGGCTGAATGCAGACCCAAAAAAAAAAATTGAAAAAAATATATATGTTATGAAGAAAAATAAATCAAAGAGGATTTGCCTGAGCATTACATCCAAATTCCTTACCAAATTTGAAATAAAAATAAAATACGGAAAACAAATACTAATAATAAAAATTAAAAAAAATTAAAAATAAATAAATTTAGCGAGTGCGAGAGCACGTTTTTTACACCGCCATCTTTGACGATTTGTCTTTTTTTTTTTTGGCATAGCTAAATGCCCTGAAAATTTACAGATGTGTACTTCACATAATGCAAAACCCACTAAAAAAGTTTCAAAAAATAATAAAATTGTTTAGACCCTTAACTAAAGTGAAAACAAAAAGTAAAAAGTGAAAAAAACGTGGGCGAGCACATTTTGAGACCGCCATCTTTGGAGATTTTTAATTCTTATTTGGCTGAGCCAAAACTTGGAAATTTATAGGCATGCACCTCATGTCATAGAGAACTCAGAAAAAATAATTCGGAAAAAAAAAAAAAAATTTAGGCCCCGAAGTAATTTTTGGCAGGGGCCGAACGTCGTCAAGTCCGGACCTCGTACGGGACCCCGAACGCCCGTACGTACGGAGGTCTGCCCGGGGACCTCCGTACTTACGCGCTGGTGACCCTTGGAAATTTATAGGCATGTACCTCATGTCATAGAGAACTCACAAAAAAAAAATTCAGAAAAAAAAAATATATTTTTAGGCCCCGAAATAATTTTTGGCGGGGGCGGAACGTCGTCAAGTCCGGACCCCGTACGGGAGCCCGAACGCCCGTACGTACGGAGGTCTGCCCGGGGACCTCCATACTTACGGGCTGGTGACCCTGCCTGTCACAACGTGAGCTCGACAGGGAAGTTTAGTAACTCATGATCATGACATATAATCTACAGTAACTTCCATAATAATATCGAATTACCAGGGGTTGGTCACCTTTGGATATATCTCAAGGTTCTCGCCCTTTCAAATAAAAAAGAAAAAAGGGGTCTGGTGGGGGGAAGAACTCTTACAAATGGGATCGTTCGTAGGTCCAACCATATGAAAATATAATGTTTTGAATTATCTTTGGTCAATTTGGCAATTATATTCGCAACCCAAAGACTACGGTACAAAGGGTTGCGCATCTGCGTCAGGGTGGCGTGAATTTTTGTGGCGCGCAACCACTTTGAATGGGGTACAACCAGGGTGCAGTGGAAGTTGTGTGGTAACCGGTCTTTCGCATTCTTGTGAAGCATGGATAACTATTTGGTTGCCCTACCAATACCTTTCAAATGAGTAGGATCAATCTTGCCTTGTGGTCGGACGCCCCAAAAGGGGTTCGAAGTCTTACAATAGTGGATTTTTATAGGCCACTAGTTCTTAAAGATCTGACAGTTACCAATGGGCTTTGCCACAGACGTTCAATAACTTATTGCAATATGTTGACAGCGTTTCCTCATACAATCTTTGGTAATTATAATAATTATTGAAAAAGTATGAGAAAAATGAAGGACATGGATTCAGTAATGATCTTTCCAAAACAAAACAAAATAAAACAAAACCACACAATGTCATCAGGGCAAAACTAAAATCATGGCGGCTAAAGAATACATTCTTTTCTCTCCGCTTCTACCCGTAGGCCCCCATTGTTTTTGCTCATTGGGCCAAACTCGAAAATTCGCAGCCCCAAGGTAGCAGTATAGTGAGTTCCCGAATCTGTCTTGGCAACCCAAAGGCTGTAGTGAAACAAAACACATTCTCTCTCTCTCTCTCTCTCTCTCTCTCTCTCTCTCTCTCTCTCTCTCTCTCTCTCTCTCTCTCTTTTCAAAGAAAAAAAAAGCATATGAACTGCAAAAGGGCCCTCATGCCTAGGCGTTGAGGCCCTTCTCAAAAAGGGAGGTCAACACTGGGAGGACGCGGGAAGGCGCAACGAAACAAGCGTTCGGTGCACGAAGCAACTTTTACGATTTTTTGTGCCTGGAGGAACTCACATAAAAATCTAAAAGTTTGAAATCCATAAATCACGTCGTGATCTTTCTTGGAAAAATATCAGAAAAATTTCAAAAAAATATTAAAACTGCGAAATAATTGTCACGCCAATGCAACACATTTTTTATTTTCATCACTCAGCCATGCATGGGCCTACACAAAAAGTATTCAAACTTCAGTGATTTTTTGCGATCCGAAGGATGCATGGAAAAAACTGAAAATTGAAGTGTTTGTACCACCAGTACCTCCGCCAGTGTTGGGAAATTACGTTGTCCTGACTAGTACCCGAAGTTTTCGGAGGTCGGACACAGGGGCGACAATGTCCCAAAAATCGTAGTTTTATTTTGCCCGTGCACGAGAGGAAAAGGAAAAAAAAAGGCTTTTGTACTGCAATGATGTCGGGCAGGGTAGTCTAGGAGGCCGTGCTCACAGTCTTGAATGCAACTTACAGTAAAGATGGTCATATTTTGAAACTTGTTGTTTTCTTTTTTTTCTCTCTCTTTTGTTTGTTATGTGTCCCCTGCCACCGAGGCAGGGCGAAATCCGTTATCTGCTCTAGTTGTGTTTCCTCAAATGATTGTAACCCTGATGTATCCAGCCGTTTTCAAGGCCGAATCCGTGTTTCCGTTTTTTTTTCCTTATTTTCTTTTTCTGGAATCTGACAATCCGAATCCGTGATCTTCTCGAGTTGTGTTCCCTCAGAGGATTGTAACCCTGATCACACTGACACTTACGGGAATGTATCTTGCCATTTTCACGACCGAATCCGTGTTCCTGTCTTTTTTTTTTTTTTTTTTGAGTTTCTGGAATCTGACAACCTGGCCACGGAGCCGAGATGCCCTCACTGAGGGTACACTCACACTAACACTTCCGAGAATGTATACAGCTGCAATCACGCCCAAAGCTTTGTTTCGTTTTCTTCTTATGTGAGTTTTCACGACTGCAACTTTTTTTTTTTTTTTTTTTTTTTTTCTTCCCGTGAGCGTACCATAAAGAAATGGAGTGGGACCCAGACTCGACAAAACTCGGAGCGCAGTGAAAATCAGGGTCGACAAAAACAGCCTCGGAGGTACGGGTGGTTTAAACAAATAAAACAAAATCATTTCATCCGTGAAATAGATCGCGACTGCAATTTAACCCATATTCCATTTTTGTCATTCAGCCTCTCTCTCTCTCTCTCTCTCTCTCTCTCTCTCTCTCTCTCTCTCTCTCTCTCTCTTGCGCACAATTAGTCCAGTTGCTTTGGTTACCTTAGGGCTGCATTCCTCGTGTCCACGCGATAGACAATATGTATATGTGTGCTAGGAAGCTATGTATGCATGAGTCCGTGGGCTGTGTATGTTCACAAGCCATGTTTTTTGTGTATGCCCAAAGGCTATGTATGCTCTGTGTAACTGTATAGCGAGATGTATATGCCTGAAGGCCATATATGTGCAGTACTATGTAGAGGGAACTATGTGTTTTTTGAAGAGATGACAGGCCAAGTTGGATAAGAACCCCCCCAAATCCCAAGCTAGACTCGAACCCGTGATCTATGACATGTGACCGGGAGGCTCTACCATATGAGCAACAATCACAAATGGCACCTATGTGTGATATGCTAGACTGAGGAAATCAACAAAACAACCATGACCAACAACGACAAGCAACCCACAAAGCATCGAGACCCGACGTACAACAATGTAGACAACCCTTGGGTAGTGTGAAGGCAGTGTCTGTAATAGCTTACCTCCTCAGCCCAAGGGGGTATGCAAGTGACGGTGTGTTATGTAGATGCCCTTCGGTGTCTCTGCGGGAAGGTGTGGAGTTATGAACCCACACCCTCAGACTGCAATGCTCAGTGACAACCGGTGCCCTAACCACTGAGCCACGGGCCACTTGCAATGCTTTGTGGTTGGATGACGAATCACCAACATCCTGCTCTCTGCCCTCACACTAGATGTACTCACTCGTCCTCCTTCTGCCCCCCTTGCCACCCTCCCTGCTACCTCCCTTGCCACATACGGATTGGGTGGATTCATTCTTCCCCACTTTCTGGTTGGATGACGAATCCCCACCATCTTGCTCTCTACCCTCACACTGGATGGACTTAGGGTCTGGTCACACACTTCGTTTTTTACAAAAACTCGAAAAAGTTTCTTGGATGTCGGCCCTGTGACATTTGCTCCGTAAAAGAAAATTCGGGTCCCACAAGCCGGATATTTGGGGGGCTTTTCCTACACATACGCCGAAACGGGCTGCACCACAATGCAAAGAACAACGGCGGACTGCTGGAAAAACAAAAGAAGTAAAATTCAAAACCAATGACTTTCAAGGGGAGGGGTAGTGGGTCGGGCGCTGTTGGAAATCTGTTCGCCCACACGGCGCAATTCGCTCCCGTGCTGCCACGCAGGAGGCAGAGAGAAGAAACAGCCAGTTTATTTTCATGGCCTGCTCGCGGTGGAAACGCGGGGGACCCCTTTTTTCCCCGAAAGTACCCTTGGTATGAGTTGTGGGATCGGATCCTCACTTGTCCTCCTTCTGCCCTCCTCGCCACCCTCCCTGCCACCGATTGGGTGGATTCATTCTTCTCCACTTTGCTGCCACTGGGTTTCCCCTTCGTGTTTACATGGCCACCTTTACTGGTAGGCATCCTGTCATCCTGTCCCCCAACTATCCCATCCTCCGGCCTAGCATCCATGGTTGTGGACGACACTAGGTGCCCTGCGGTTAGTAGCAGGCCGGACTTGACTATTCACAGCCAGGAGGCTGCACTGTTAGTAGCAGGCCGGACTTGACTATTCGCAGCCAGGAGCCTGCGGTTAGTAGCAGGCCGGAAATGTTGATGTCCTTTTTGGGGTCTTAGAGCGGTGTAGAGGGGGTGAGAATGTGGAGCAGAAGGATGAGGTCATTCGTCGTAAGACCGACCGGTCGTTTAGGCGGTCACAAGAGGCAAAAAACGAACATCAGCGGTAGCCTGCAGAGGTCGTGCAGCGGTCGTTTTGGATGGCGCCCAGGGGTTTCTTCTTCAGGCAAAGTTTGAGTTCGAGAAATGGGAAAGTGGGGGGGCGTTTGGGAGGGGCGGAGGGTCAGCTGGTGGGGTCTGCAAAATGCGTTCCAAGACCACACGCCCTCCGGGCTGCACCTCCGTGCCCTGCGCCGTACACAGTTATGTGGAGGTCTTTGTTGGAGAATCTGACACTCAGAACCAGACGGTTAAAGTGAACTCCTGATAGCATCCATACAATTCCAACACATTTCATAGAGGTAGTCGTAGTTCAGTGGGGGCGTGCCCATGAGCGAGTCCAATTACCATGGTTCCACACTGGGGCCTTCCGATTATCCCGTCCATTTACCATGGGTCCATAGTCAATGTGTGGAACCATGCCACGGTCGTCAAACTCTGCGAATGGCGAGAAAGTGAGGAGCCAGGCCCTTCTATGGCCTACCGTAGTTTTATTTTGATTGACGGCGGGGGCCAGAGGCATTTCTGGGGGTCTGTCCGTTCCCGCTCGCGATCCATTTCTCAGGGGCTTGGCCTCCCCGAAAAGCAAATCGTGAACTCCCTCGTCTTTTTTGGGCAAAAGGGAGGACTCGTCTTGGCTTTTTCGGGCAAAATGGGCTTGGCTGGGCTTTTTCGGCCAAAAGGGACTCGGCTTGGCTTTTTCGGGCAAACGGGACTCGGCTTGGCTTTTTCGGGCAAAAGGGAGGCTTTTCGGCCCAAAGGATCAAGATATCGGACGGTCGATCTGACATCCACTGCTCGAGAGTTTTCATAGCTCAGGTTCTGTTCATCCCCCGGACCCCTTGTTTGGAGGGCTGGCCTTTGAACAGCGTGACCGTCAGATTTTCCGATCGGACGGTCGAGTGGAGATCCAGTGCATTTCAGCACAAGGGTTGTCCTGGCCGGAGTGTACCCGGGCCCAACGATACCGCTTTTAGGGTTGGAGGTCTGTAGAGTTACCCTTCAGGTTTTTATGGAGTGGGAGCTACGTGTTTGGTCTTTCTTCCTCTCTTACCGTCGTCGGCCATAGTGGCTGCCGCTCCTCTCCCTCGTCAAACCCTAGCCGCGACTTGTGTGACAAGCTTTAGCGAAGATGCCGCCCAAGTTCGATCCCTCGCAGGTCGTCGAGGTTTTCGTCCGCGTGACGGGCGGAGAGGTGGGCGCGGCCTCCTCTCTCGCCCCGAAGATCGGTCCCCTCGGTCTCTCTCCAAAGAAGATTGGTGAAGACATCGCCAAGGAGACGGCCAAGGAGTGGAAAGGTCTTCGTGTGACTGTCAAGCTCACCGTACAGAATCGACAGGCTAAGGTGTCAGTCGTTCCCAGTGCGGCTGCCCTCGTCATCAAGCATCTGAAGGAGCCCGAGAGAGACAGAAAGAAGCAGAAGAACATTAAGCACAACGGCAATCTCTCCATTGATGATGTCATCGAGATTGCAAGAACCATGAGGCCGAGGAGCATGGCGAAGGAAATGGCCGGCTGCGTCAAGGAGATCCTCGGCACGTGTGTCTCTGTCGGGTGCACAGTGGAGGGGGAAAGTCCCAAGGTCGTTCAGCAACAGATTGACGACGGAGAACTGGAAATTCCAGATGAGTAAAGGGGTTGTCAGTTGGGGAGGGGGAGGGGATTTGGGGGGGGGGGATGTGTGGAGAGGAAAGACGGGAAAAAACGTGTAGGAAATCGACGGAGGGGAATCGGTTACATAACCTCCTCCTGATGTGGCTTCAGTTCTTTTGTATATGATTCGACGAGATCTGCTGTTGCTGCCTCTTGAGGGAAAGAGGAGGGAGTAGAACGGCAGTGGACGAGAAGACCTGGGGAGCATTGAAGAGGAAGGGGGGGGTAAGTAATTGTTCTGTCTGTCAGGGTGGGCGACATGTATGTGACTGGCTAGACGAGGCGACACGTGGCTTGTTAATGCGGCTTGATTCTTGACGAGGTGCGAGTCTACGGGAGAGGATGATGGCTGATGAGGCGCCCGTCTATGGGAGGATGATGGCTGATTGATGCTTGTGTGTTGCTTTGCGCATGGAAAATGAGGTGATTAATGATTGACCTGTTGGTTTTTGGCGGCGATGAGAAGGAAGCTGGGACTCTTCTCTCAAGAGGAGGTCACGGATATGTCTACACTTATGGCAGAGACGTGGGGGCGCGATGATAGCAGTGGTTAGTAGGGGAGAGGGGGGGGGGGGGGGGGAGGGCAAGATTTCTTGTAATTGATGACTTAATTGGTCGGCTTATAGAACTGGAGACGTTGGATCGAGGAGAGAGGAGAGTTAATTGCTCGGAGCGCCAAGGAGAGCATTTGGTTGGAATTTTGGGGCCGTTACCTTGTGTTGAAGCCTTGCGGAGAGAAGGTCGAAGAGGAGACAGAGAGGGAGAGGAGGGGAGTAGGGTTGACCCTTTGGAGGAGTGTCGATTGTCGGAAAATTGCTTATGTTGATTTTCCACGTATTCAAATCCTGTCGGCGAGAAGTGGAGAGTGCACTTTTTTCTTCTGCGTTGAGTTTTCTGGTTTTCACATCTATGTGTTGTCGTCAGAGTCAAATACAAATCCATTAAAGAGCTGATTGGGTATTCCTGAAAGAATTGAAATTGCTCCATGTCGTTTTTGTTATGATTCTTCTCCTCATCCTGTCAGTTTCTTCTTGCCTCCGTCCTCGTCTGGGATTTTTATCAAACCCTATTTCGTGCTTTTGCTGAAAAAAAAAAATCGATTTTTTTTTTGCTTTTCGAATCTTAAAATTGTGTTTTTTTTTCCAACTCCCTCTAAATCGGTTTCTGAACCTGAGGTTTCCCATCTCCTCCTCCTCCTCCTCCTCTTTGAACTAAAGCTAGACATGGTTTATAGGTTTGCTACACATGGCATTTGCTACACATGGCATGGGCGAAGGTTTGCTACACATGGCTTAAGAGGTTTGCTACACATGGTCGAAGGTTTGCTGAAGGGTTTGCCTTACAATGGTTGAAGGTTGGGTACCTTTTTTTCAACGTGTACGTCCTCCATCGAATGGCGTTTTGCCGTGCGGTGAGGATGATGTATAGCTATGACGTCGGGGATACGAATCCTTCTGTCGTCAGAAATGTTTTCTTGGTCACTTTTGTCTAGTCTTCACGCGTTTCTCAAAACTGAGGCTGCTATCTCAAGCACGCGAGTCTATATTCAACGTTCCCTGGTTCTATTACTCTTTTAACTTGTTTCTTATGTCTATTACAAATTGTTCAGCGTCTCACCGTCTTGTTGATCTTTACCTCACCGCGGTTAATTTACCTCACCGTCTTGTTGATCTTTACCTCACCGCGGTTAATTTACCCGTCTTGTTGATCTTTACCCAACCGTTTCCGTAAAACATATGGGCTAGCTCTTCCACAAGTGCCTGCTCCTGCCTCGAAGCTCTTATATTTTTCCAAGTTCCCGTACCTCAACCCGGTTTGACGCGCTATCCACGCCTACTTAGTGCCAACCCTGCTTCGACCTACTCTTGTCTAGACCTACTCCTTTGTCCTTTTTCCTTTCATCCTCTCAACCTCATCTTGTCTAGACCTAGTCTGTTCTTTTCTCTTTGATGGTGCTGCTCTTTCCTCGACCGGGCCTCACAATATCGCCCTGGCCTTATCGTTCTTCTCTCTGTTCACCTTCTTATTACTTGACCTCGTCTTCATCTCCTCTCGCCACCATCCCCGCTTTCTCTTCTCTGCACTCCCATCTACACCTGAGCCCTACTGCGTGTCCATCAACCCTGCGCCTTTTTTCCGCTGTGCTTAACCTGCTCCCTCCTCGGCATCTATTGTCGTATACAGGTTCATTGGAGTTTACTTCCCTCTCCTACTTATCACTTTTCAATCCACGACCTGATCACTTACCTCCCAACTCCCAACTCCCATCTTCGTCTCTCCTCCTGTAGTTGCACTGCATCTACCCCTACCTATCCTTAAGTCGACCCCTACTTACGAATGCCTGCTCCTCGGTCACTAATTCTCTTTTGTCCTTTTCTCTGTTCTGTCAGTGTGCTTCTCATTGTGTCATCTCTGTGTGCTTTTCACTCAAATTTGTGATCTCAATCTGAACCAAGTAACCATTTCAACATGTCGAAATTCTCCAATCCTTTCGATCTGCTGTTTTCTCCTCACTGTGTCGAACTTTATTTCGCTCCTAGTCTTGATCTCTGCTTCAATCCTCTGAACTCCATCTTTTGTCAAACTCGGCTTCTCGTCTTTTCCTTTTCAAGCTCGCATTCCACTCTGTTCTTTGTTAAGCTTACGCTCTCATCTCTTATAGGGTTTAATACTCATGCGTTGTTCCGTTTTTGGAAGCTCTCTCTTCTCCACGATGAGCTGGAGTGTTTGTTATGATGATGGATTACCCTTCTCTCGTGTGTGCCTGTACGCCTTATCTGTATTTGTAGTCTTTCTTTTTCCCTATTTTGTTGGAGATTTGAATTTGTTCACATCGCTATCGCTATCGCTGTGGCTGTGCTAATCAATCTTCTTCAGGCTCTGATTGCCAAGAGACTTGTGAAAAACTGGGCTCTCAATTGAGCTTCTTTTATTCTCTTACGACTCTCGAAATCTGTAAGACTATCGTCATCACCCGGATAAGACTCGCGGCCATTGTAGCTGACTGTGTTTCGGGCAACATTCAGTCTACATTCGACGAAAGATAATAAGCGGCAGTCTATTCGTATGAAGACGGTTGCCAAAGAACTACACGTGCACATCTTGTAAGCATTATTTCGTGCAATTTCCATGTCGATTGTCCCCTCGCTGGTGGTCGGTTTCCTCTTGCCCCCGAACAGAACGCACCCCTGATCCTTACTCTCTGTATACAAGTGGTAACTGCAGTTTGATACAGTCGTATTGAGCATGCCGGTGGTGAAGATGTATCTTAGCAGTGTCTAGGTGTTTCTTTGCCTCTCTGCGAAGTCCGACTGGTATGTCTGTACGTGTTGTTGTTTCTCTGTCATCGATTCCCGTTGACGCATGTATATAATTGTACTACCGTCCTTCCTCGAACTTAACGCACCCTAAAAAGAAATGTATACAAGCTATATTTCCCGCCCAATACAGCCAAAATGAGGGTGCGTTGTGTTCGGGGGAAGACGGTAGTCGGAGCAGATTTTTTGTTGCTCCCTGTTTTTTTTTTTTCCTCCCAGGAAAGGTTTATTTTTCCCCAGATTTTCCGCTACGTCCTTAATTTTGCACAAGGGCCATGCTAATCATCTTCCTGCGTTGGTTGGCGCTTCTCTGCTCAACGCCTCGGCGGCTGTGTACGGAGGGCAATTGCGCTGTTACAGCATCTGTATCATTTGCGTCTATGTTTTTCACCCCTGTTTCATCATTTTGGGGGTCTAGTAATATGTCCCTGTCACATCCTTTGCGTTTTTATTTTGTTTTCCGCGTTTTTATTTCGTTTCAATCCTTTGCTCTTGGATTCTCGGACTAGGTTTTCCTGCTGCAGCTATGGAATTGATGAGCCTTCTTGTCAACGCCTGATCGGCATGATCATGACACACGAGAGAGAGGTCGGTGATATAGCTCTGGTGCCGAGTAGGTTGCCTTGACTACGCCATTGCGCGCCTCTCCTGACCGGCATGGTCATGACACACGAGAGAGAGGTCGATGATATAGCTCTGCTGACGAGTAGGTTGCCTTGCCTACGCCATTGCGCGCGTCTGCCACTCGCTTATGTCTCTGTGAATCAAGCTCGTTTCTGAGTGATGATTCGTTAATTAGCAAGTCATTGAACACCAGTGCTCGTATCTGTGTAAACCATCTTTCCCCCCCAAATTCCCCTCTATCCTGGGTGTGTTGTCTGCTCCCTGAGGTGACTTTTCCTTCCCTATCCCTACTGGTTATCCCCACATTCCTGGTCGCTCTCCGCGCGCTCTCTCCCTTACGCTAGGTGTTGTTCTATGTGCCCTAAATTGTGCCAGCTTGATCTTCCCCCTTATCTGTTTGCGCCGTCCTCTGCTCGGTTCTCGACCTTGTAGTTTTCTCTTATCGTCGTCCTTTCCGTGGCTCTGCCGTAGTTCCCCCATTGGTGCTTCATCTCCCCCAATACGCCCCTCATTGCGCGGGTGTAGCTGTACCCGGTTTGCCGCTCCTGTTCCCTTCGTTCTTGCTGCATGTGCATGCCCCCTCCCCCCTCCCCCCGTCGTTCGCGCTCCGCCCTCTCTACTGTTGTGCTCCGCCCTCTCTGGTGTTGTGCTCTGCCCCGTCCTGAACTCCCCGTACTGTCCTTGCCGGAATATGCGCGGCATTGTAGCTGTATTTGGCACAATTGTCAGTCTAGATACCGGAGATAATGACCCTGCATTGTAGCTGTATTTGGTGCAATTGTCAGTCTAGATGCCGGAGATCATGACCCTGCATTCTCGTCGCGTTTGAAGTGGACGTCTGCGCTCGTAACGTGCTCAGTTCCTACATCTCCTTCCCCCGCCATTGCCTCTTATCCAGCAGTCGGACGGGTGAGGTGTTGTTTTCACTTTTTAGTGTTTCCACTTTTAGGTCGAGTTTGTCGAGTGAACATCTTGAACACTTTTGGTACTTCCGTAAATGAAGTTGATCGATGCTTGTTGATGTTCCCCCTTCGTCGCCGTCTGTCTGACCATAATATTCACGTGGGAATTTAGTGCACGGTCATTATGGCTGAACTTAGGGCATCTATCAGTCTAGATACAGTGACAAAATGCCGTGTTTTTTTGGGGGGGGGGCTGCATTTGGCGCAACTTCTTTCTCTGACGTTCCGTACGTCTGTCAATTTTTACCCCTCCCCCGAACTTAGCCGCCTTGATAAACGGTAATTAACAGTCGCTACCTTCTACGCGCGAATGGAGTTCATGGTCGTTATGACTGTATTTGGGGCATACGGTGATACTGACTGTGCGTTCTATGCGGGTGGAGACGGGAGGAAATGTAATACCCTTCACTTTTCCATGTCAGCCGTTTGAAAAAGTCAGTGAGGGGATCACCCTATGTGGAGAACAGGAATCCTCCAATTTCCCTTGTCACTCGTTTGAAAAGACCATGAGAGAGAGAGAGAGAGAGAGAGAGAGAGAGAGAGAGAGAGAGAGAGAGAGAGAGAGAGAGAGAGAGAGATTGTTTATCATCTCTACTGGGGGAATAAAAAATTAACAAGGTTAGGTGTTTATCATCTCTCCCTGGGGGAACAAAAAAATAACAAGGTTTTTGTAAGAAATGCGGAATCGCACATTGAGAGAGAGAGAGAGAGAGAGATTGGTTGTAGATTGGTTGTTTATCATCTCTCCTGGGGGAATAAAAAATTAACAAGGTTGGGTGTTTATCATCTCTCCCTGGGTGAACAAAAAAATAACAAGGTTTATGTAAGAAAGGCGGAACCGCACATTGAGAGAGAGAGAGAGAGAGAGAGAGAGAGAGAGAGAGAGAGAGAGATTGTGTTTATCATCGCTCTTCTTTTGATCGCAAGGACGTGGGTTCGAAGAGACGAGCAACGTGCTGACGTGGCTGAACAGTCATCCAGTTTTGATGACTTTTAGAACCGTGAATGGTGCTGCTAACTCGTCTCATTAATATTGTGCTGTGCTCAAAACCCGTAATGCCGCCTGCAAGTTCAGGGGTATAACAAATGAACCTAGTCACGGTGACGTCCAAATGGATTGTGGAGTCCTAACGTGAGCACTGCATCCTTTCCTGCTGTCTATGTCGACGAGTACGTCGGTCTCATCTCAGCAAGCAGGGCTGAAGAACAATACGGAACAGAAAAGCAGGGCTGCTAGCTGACCAATTGGGTGTTTGCCTGTATGGTGCATGAGAGCTCTCAAGCATTTGTTAGTGTATGCGAGCGTCTGTGATTAAGGAGGTCATGGGTGACCAGGGCTTTGGGTTTAGAACGTGATATTGGAAGACGGGTATCGTCTTACCCGCGCCGCTATTGATTAAGCTTCTCCGCTGATGAGGGTACGACCTTCTTCACCGGAATATGACGTACGCTTAAACGTACCCTAAATACAGCTATACTGATCGTATGTTGTATTCGGGTGAAGGTAGGCGAAGAATATAAGCACTTTGGCATTTTTTTACGCCCGTGCTGCTGATCAGGAAATACACAACCCCTGCTGAAATGTACCTATAACCAGGATGGAAATTGCCCTCCTTTCTTCCTCCCTCGAATACAACGTACCGTCATTATAGCTGTATTTGTGGTATTGCTCATTTCAAATACGGCTATAATGACCATACGTTGTATTCGGGGGAAGAAGGTAGCGAGGCACCATGCTAGAGCACACTACTCAGGATGTGCTTGTGCACTGACCGAGTATTGTGTCTGCATCTCAGGGATGAGACAATCAGCCAGCGGGTGTAGTGTCTGCATCTCAGGGATGAGATAATCAGCCCAGATCCAGCATGAGGAAAAGATAGGAGACGTCCCTTGGGACAATAATTGGAACGATAAAAAAGAGGAAATGTCCTT